TTTATAATATTTAAATTTTTTTTTTTTTTTTTTTTTTTTTTTTTGCTTTTAATCAAACCTTCTAAATTATCGATATCAATATCTAAAATAAAACAAAAAATTAAAAAATTATTATTTAATTTATATTAACGTAAGTTATGATATTTTATTAATATATAAATATATATATATATATATATATATATATATATATATATATATGTATATATAATTTAATAAATTATTAGTATTATAACAATTACTACTGAGAGAACTTAGAGCTGGTAAAATATCCAAAATGATAAAAAAAAAAAGAAAAATAAAATAAATAAACTTGTTATTATCATTTTAGATTAAAATTTTAACTATTGAGAATGTATCTTTTGTATTTTTATGCTTACATTCATTACTACTGAAAATTACAGCTTCTAACATTATAAAGTAAAAAAAAAATTTTTAATTATTTATATATTTATTTAAGAATAGAATCATTTGTTATTTCTCTTTATTATAAATATATTTTAATGCATTTTTATACTTTCTCCACTAGTAGAAGGTAGAGGATCTCCTAATATGTTTAAATTAAATAAAAAAAAAAATATGCATATATATATTTTATTTATCTAGCTTAATTTTTTTAATTATATAAGTAATTTAATTCTCTTTTATGTGTATTACTAGGATTTCTAGATGAACGAGGTTTCACTATTTTATGTAAAAAAAAAAAAAAAAAAATAAAAAAAGTATTTATTTATGGTAATCCAATTTAAAACATATCATTATTACATATATCTTAATATTTTCTTTTTTTTTCTTTTTTTTATAATAAAATAGAGTACTTTATTATTATTATTGTAATAATGTTTTTTTTTTATAACTTGTATTAGTAGGGTTGACTAAGGCTGATGATATTTCTAATTTAAAAAAAAAAATATATAAAAAAAATTATATGATTATATACTTAATAGTATAGATTAAAATGTATAAAGGATGTATATATAATTCAATTAATTATTATCTTTACAACCTCTCCTTATCATCGTATCATAATAAGGTACTATTATTATGATGTAATAAAAAAGAATCGTAAATTAAATTTTTTTTTTTTTTTTTTATTAAATATAATGTTTAAATATATGGCTTGTCTTTTTTTTTTTTTTTTTTTTCTATTGAACAAATAATTGAATATATATTTTTACTTACATATATTAGAAGTTTTTAAAGGATTAGTTTTTATAATTAAAACGAAAAAAAAAAAAAAAAATTATTTTTAAATCTTTTATTTTATATAATTATTTAATTTAAAATATTTACTTATTATGTATTTAACATAATATATTATTTAAATTACCATCGGGGTTTGGTGAATCAATGGGACTATTAACTATGTTTAAAATGAAAAATAAAGAAAAAGAGGATCATATATATTTATATTTAAATGCAGTATATATTAAATTTTATAATTAGTAATTTTTTAAATATGTAGAATATGTATGTTTTTAATTTTGCCTTTGCTTCCTGAAGGCGGAGATTGATGTTCTATATTTAAAAAAAAAAAAAAAATAATAAAAGATGTAATAATTTATATATTTAATTATGTGTTTAACAAATATTTAACAGATGTAATTTTTTTTTTTTTCTATGTATAACCCTCTGTTTTTATAGATTTAATCAGCAAAATAAATATGGAAATAATAATATAAGCTTTCATTTTATAAAATAAAAATATGAAAATGTAAAAAAGAATTTGATTATTAAATGAAAATTTAATTACAGTTTTTTAATTAAATAAATGTGAAAGAATAGAAGAAATTGATATAGAGAAAGGTTCTTTAAAAAATTATAAAAAAAAATGTTAACTTCTTTTATAATAATTAAAAATGAGAAAAAAAAGTGTGTGTTCTCAAAGTATTCAAGTTAAACATTTAAATAAATATATAACTAAAAATTAAATTTATATTTTTTATAAAATTTTTTTTTTTTTATTATCAAAATTAATATTAGACTTATTTAAATAAAAAATAAAATATCTTTCTTTATCATGTGATCATAATTTGCTCTATTTTTTTTGTTTTTTACTTTTATAATAAAGAACTATTCTAATTTTTTTTTTTTTTTTTATTAATCATTAAAAAAAAAAATGATGCTTTATTTAAGTTTATTTTAAAAAAAAAAAAAAAAAAAAAAAAAGGTTCAATTTGAACAAATAAAAATAAAACAAGAATCTATAATTACATTTTACATTAATCCCCTATAAAACAGTTTTTCTTTTTAGAAAAAATAATTTTTATGAAAATTTTTAATATAGAAATTTCATGATAATAATTAAAAAAATATTTTTCATGAAAATCTTAAAAATTTTTATTCCTAAAGTTAAACCTTTTCAAAGAAAGTTTGAGTATACTTTTATTTTTAACCATGTTATAATCTTTGAAATATTGTTATCATTATTTTTTTTTTTTTTTTTTTTTAATATACGATTGTAAATTCCTTTTTTTTTTCTAGTCTTTTTTGTTTATTTTTTTTTAAAACAAAACATGTTTTAAATTATTTAAAAGTAATACAAGACTCATAAAAAAAATATTAATTATGAATTATTTGAATCAATAAAAATTATTAACTTTGAAAAATAAACTCAATTTTCGAATCCATGCTTTTTTAAGTGATACACATGCAAAAATTGATATAAATAACAAAAAAAAGAGAACTTACAAATTTACACATTTATTTATAAATTAATATATGATGTTTTAATAAGACTTTTAATACAAAAATTTTAAAAAAAATTAATATATCTTTTTATGAATTTATAACACATTTTTATTATATCCATCTATTGAAGCTTTGAAAAAACAGAATTTTCTCCAAAAAAATATAAAACTTCTTTAGAACAATTTTTTTCATAATATTACAATTAACAAAAAATAACAAAAAAAAAATATAATCTATTATTTAATATTATAAAAATAAAAAATTTAATTTATTTTTTTCTATAAACTATTATATTCACTTGAGTATTGAAATTTTTTGAATCTTTAATTTTTTTTTTTTTTTGTGCACTATCTTGTCTTTTTTTAAAGTTAAAAAATATACAAAATACTTTTTTTTTATTTTCATATAGAAAATCATTAAAATAAAAATACTTTCCTTTATTTCTTCTACTGACATCCTATTGAGTTTTTTTTTTTTTTTTTTTTTTATATATATATAATTATAGATATATATTTTTTTAATAAAAAAATTGAAAAAGGAAATATATTTTTTATTTATAACACATCAAAGATATAAAAAAATTTTAACAATGAAAAGGATAGAAGATAAGAAATATAATTTAAAAGAAAAAATAAATAATAGAATAAGATATAAGAAAGATAAATATAATAAAATATTTTTAAAAATAATGAATTTAATAATATTTAGATAATAATTTTAATGACACTTTTTTTTTAAAGTAAGATTTTAATTAATCTAAAATAATTAAATTTACTTAATAAAAAATATATATATTAAATAAAAGGAATTCCTTTTTTATTATTTATATATAAAGTTATTAAAAAAAATTTAAAAAAATGAAAAACACTAAAAAACTAAAATCCAAAAAAAAGACAGAAAAAGAAACATTAATAAATGAAGTAAAAAAAAAAAAAAAAAAAAAAAATCTAATTAAAATATAACTATAATTTTATTTTATTTTCAAATGATCTACAAATAGTTAAGCAGCATAAATAAAGAAATAGAAGATGAGAAAAAAAATGTAGAAGATATTAATTCAAAAATTAAAAATATAGATGATAATATATTTTTAGGTTATCACGATTTAAAGGTTTTAAAGAAATATATATGTAAAATATTATTTAAAATTTATAAATAAAAGATAATACAAAAGAATTAGAAAATATTAATACATAGAATAGGAGATAATAACCTTTTGGTTAATATAAAAAAAAAAAAATTTCTTTTTTTTTTCTTTTTTATTAGATACTTAAATTAGAATTAAAAAATAAAGAAATAGAATTAGAAGAAAATAAAGCATTCAAGTTATTATCTTCTAGAAAAATTGAAAATATTATAAATAGATATGTATTAAAGTGCTATGAAACATTTCTAGACAATCTAACAAAAAATGAAATAGATATATATGAGCATTCTAGAACTGCAGAGTAACATATTTTTTATTAAAATAAATTAAATTTTATTATAAATATTCTTTGTTATTTTTTTTTTTTTTTTAATTCTTTAAAATTAACTAAAGAATAGAAAAAAAAAATCAGCAATCATATAAAGATTATGACAAATTAATAAACGTCACAAATATTCAACACTTAAATAAATTAAATTCTATTATTTTGTCTCAAAATGAATTAATAGATGAAATTAATCGTAGATTTACTAGCAACCTCAAGGAGATGAGAAAAAATTATTCCAAAAAAATTAATCTCGTTAATATTTTAAAAAATGAATTCTCATTTTTATGAAAGAATTTATAAAATATATCAACTTTTAAAAAATGAAAATTAAATTGGTATTTTTATAGGAAAGAGATAAATTAGATAAAAAAAGACAAAAAACTATTTTCAATTTACAAAAAGATAAAAATGAGAATATCAAGTATAATTAAGCTTACTAAATTATATATATGTAAAAAAATAATATTAAAAATAGAATATTGTGTTTTTAAAAAGGAATATTTTAGTAGAATATAATGAAAAAATTTTAAATACACAAAATTATTTTAAATTAATATTAAATGATCAATTAGAAATGATTCAAAAGTTAGAGGTTAGTTAAATAACATGAATTGGCCTTTATATTTTTAAAGTTTCTCAAATAATTATATAGTATTTTTTTTTTTTCATAAATTTTTTAGGACGAAAAACTTAATAAAAAAAAAAACTATTTCTCTAAAATAAAATATTTAGAAGAATTTAAAAAAAATATATCGATTCATAAAAGTATTAGCAAAAAGAATTTTTTTTTTTTTTTTTTTTTTTTTTTTTATCATATTAGTTTACAAAAATTATAATCAAAGATAAATATATATATTATCATTTTAATTGTTAAATTTATAAAATTACATTAGAAAAATTAGAAAATTTAGATAAAGATGTAAAGCTATTAGAAAAAAATATTAATGATTATGAAATGCTAAAAATTAACTTGAAAAAAATTAAAGAAAAGAGAAAAAAACAACTAAAAGTTCTAGAAGAATTAAAATTAGAAACAGATGTAAAAAAAATGTTGCTCACAAGGATTTCTAAGGAATACGAAGAATTATTTAATAAAAATAAGATGAAACTATACAGCTATTTACAAAAATTATTATTAGAAGTATAAAAACAAAAAATCTTCTAATAAAATCTTTTAAACATATGAAATTAAAAATATGTTCCTTCTTTTTTTTTTTTTTTTTTTTTTTTAAAGAACTATTTTTTAGAAACAAAGATGAAATTAAAAAATGAATCTTTAGAAATAAATACTATTGAAGTAAATATAATATAAATTATTTAAAAAAGATATTTTTATTTTTTTTAAAATTAATCATATTTCATAAAATAATTACATTATTATTTTATTTAGTTAAAAAAATGGCAAGAATCCTTTGATCCAAAACAAAATGAAATACTAAATAAAGTCTTAAATGATAAATTTCAAAATTTTGAGAATTTAAAAAAAGGAGTAGAAAATATGATAGTAATATTATAAATTTTTTTTACAGATATTTTCTTAAGAATGAAATAATATATTGAATATTTATAAAAATAGTTACATGCAAAAATATATATTTTCCTTATTTTTCATTTTTATCAAGGATTTAAATGAAAAGAATAAAGAAAGTTATGAATCTTTAATGCATCTCAATTATTACTCAAATGATGATTTAGATGTTTTAAAAAGAGAAAATGCACCATAAAAAAAAAAAAAAAATACTTAATATTTTTACATTAAAAAGAATATAAAAAAATAATTCCTTTTTTATTTTTAACACATTATATATGTGAATAAATAATTACATTTTAATAAAAATTCTTTTAATGGATAAGCACAGTTCTTTTAAGTTATAATTATACTAAATTTTAATTATTAATACATTTAATTAAAATTACAAAATTTTTTTTTATGCATTTTTTTTTTTATATATCTTTTTGTCTTTTATTTTAATTTTATTTTTTTTTTTTTTATACTTTTTATAATTATTATATTTTTTTTTAATGTTATATTTAGAAACAGTTATAAAAGTGTATGTTTTTTTTTTAATATATATTTTTTAAAATTGTTTACAGGCAAAACATATAATAATAATAGCGCATGCATAACTATAATAATAAATAAAATATATTAAAAGAAAAAATTATTTATTAATTTAAGTGATTTTGAGACTTTCTTATAGATTTGAAAATCATAAGCATTCGCATATCGTTTTGTGAACTTTGCATTTTAATAGTTTCTCTTTTTTTTTAAAACATAAAAAAAAAAAAAAATAAATTTTTCTCAAATAATTACATTGTAGATGATAGAATTTTCTTTTTTTTTTTTATTTGTTTATATATTTTTAATACATTAGAGGAAAAAATTTAATAAAAATTTGCTTATTTTTTTTAATTATCCTTTTTTTCATTACTTCATATAAAATTATATTAGAAAAAAATTAAAAATTTAACAAAGATTTTATTATTTTCATTTAAATAATTTATGTTAATAATTAATGTTTTTAATTATGTTATTTAGGAATAATACATGACATACACATATGTATAAAATATATAATTTTTCTTTGAAAATTTTATAAATTTATTCTAAAATAATTTTTACTTATTTTAAAATGAAGATTACGAATAAGCAAAGAACTAATATATTAGAGAAATAAAATTTGAAGGCTCTTTAAAGCATAATATAACTTTCCTTTTTTTTTTTTATATTAGATGTTAAATTATGCATTATTAACATTTATTTTCTTATATATTATTCATATACAATATGAAAATAAGTAAATGAGAAACAAAAAAAAAAAAAAAAAAATGTTAGAAACGAATTTAATTGAAAATTACCATTTTGATAACTTAATTCATAACAATTTTGATAATAAACGTAAAAAAGAAAAAGTTATAATGCCTATAATTGAAAATAAAAAAATTTTAATTGAATTAAAAAATTCATTCAATGATGAAAACCTTAATTGTAAAATAAATTTCAATGATACTAAAGAGACATACTATGACCATTCTGATGAAGTTTCAGAAACAAATGATAAAATAAAGACAAATGTCTCTATCTCTTCAGATATACAAGGAGATGGTTTATTAGGAAATATAGGTATTTAAAAAAAAAAAAATAAGAAAAAAGATTTATATTAGGAATGTTTATGTGTAATTATTTTGTGTATAAAAAAAAAAAAAAAAAAAAAATAAAAATGGACCAAATTAAAAGAAAAATGTCCTATGTTCAATAGTTTATGTATATTTATAAATATAAAATTAAATGTATACTTTTTAATAAGTATTAATATTTTTAAAAAGCATACATTAAAAATACTTGAAAATTGGATGTATATATGAAATTTTTTTTTAATTTTTAGATAATTATTTTGAAAAGAAAAATGGAAATTCCGAATATAAAGAAATAAAAAGTTCTAGTTTTAGAAAAAAAATATATAAAATTTTCTTTATTCGCTTATTATATGCTTTTATATATGGTATTATTGGAGTATATATTCAATGTTATTCTATAATATTAAGTGATTCATATTATAATACTGGTGATGAACCATTGAAAGATAGAATTCATGAATTAATTAAAAAAATACCATCATTTATGGATGCAGGATTTATTAATGGGAACATAATGATTTTTTTTATTATTACTATTTTAAGATTTGGGTTGTTTTTTCCTTTTTTATTATCATTAACAATATTAATTAGATTGATTTTCATGCTTTCTACTATTTATTATGTAAGATCTTTATTTATTTATGTAACTACTTTACCATGTCCCATACCTACATGTCAACCATTAAAAAATAAAGGATTTCTTGATAATATATATTCTTCACATCTTATAATTTTTGCTCAAGTGTACGAATGTACAGACCTAATTATATCTGGTCATACTGCTTTTACTACATTATTAAAATACTTATGGCTTTTTTACGAAAAGAATATTTATATAAAGATTTGTATATGTTTTTATAGTTTATTTATCTTCTCAATAATAATAATATCAAGATTCCATTATACTGTTGATGTATTAATGGGATATGCATTTGGAGCATCTATTTTTATTTTTTATCATTGCCTTCTTGATATTGCTGCAAAAAGATATGCAATTAATAAATCCTTTTATGTTAATGTATTAAAAAAAAAAAAAAAAAATGAAACTATAAATATATATATATTTATTATGAAAATTACGATAAAAAAAAAAAAAAAAAAAAAAAATTAGAATAAATCTATTTAAAAATAAATTTATAATATATATATTTATATATATATTTTTTTTTTTTTTTTTTTTGTGTATATATTATATTTCTTTTTTTTTTAGTACTGTGGCTATTCAAGATCATTCACAGAAAGATGTAATTTGTTTCATTATTTAATTCCATTAATTGGCTATATTGAGGCTTTAGATTATAGATTAAATATCTCAACTTCCTATGATAAAGAATGGGTAACTAAATAAATTTATTTATGTATATTAATCCTCATATAATTTTACTTAAATTTTTTCTAATAATTCAGAAGAATATAAATTTTTTTTTTTTTTTTTTTTAACATTAGAGTTCTTTTTGTCCTTGTAAACCAGTGAATTCAAAAAGTCTTATAAATAAAAAAAAAAATATTCGTAATGAAGACTATTATGATTTTAGTGACCATTTTTATCATTCATATGCTGGAAATGGTGCATTTAGTTTATCATCAATATATAATTTACTGAATAAATGTAAAAATATATACAGAATAAAAAATAAAAATTAATTTACTATATATATATATATATATATATATATATATATATATATATATGTAAACATTTTTTTTTTTCTTCTTTTGTTTCGTTATTTTGTATGTAGAAGAAAGTGAAGATATAATTAAATTTGCTCAATTATTTTATTCTTAAGTATAGAAAAAATAATATACGAATTAAGAGTTTAAACACTTTTTTAATCGTTATTAAGTTAATACTTTCCATTTTATTTAATTTATTTTTTTTTTTTTTCGAGTTTAATATTTTAGTACAATTACTTACACACTTAATTTGTCTGTTTTACATTTTAGTAAATTTTTTTTAAAAATTTATTATCTAAATATTACTTTATAAACTTATAAATCATATATATTTTAAATAAATAATTATTAAATTTTTACTATGTAATAATTTTTTTGTATATTTATTATTATATATTATATGTCTATGTTCCAATACTGATAAATTAAATATCTTTTCAATAATATTTATAAATGATTGAATAAACAATTTGACAAAGAATATGTAGAAGAAATTCTATGATGTCTTCTAAGGCAATTAATACTTTTTGATGAATTAATAACTTAATCTTTTTTTAATGTTTATTTATAAGAAATATGGAAGTTTTACACAATGTAATTAAATAATAAGTATCTTATACACATGTAAATTTGGTATCTTAAGATATTATATTTATATTTCTGTGAAAAATATCTTTATATTAAAAATAGTAAATAATTCCTTTATTTTTTACGATAAAAATTGAACAAATACGTATAAAAAAATATGTAATTAGATAGATATATGCTCAATTTGCGGACATTTTAAATGGAAATTATCACAATTTTCACGTTAGATGAGCATGCTCCAAAAATTACATTTTTTTGATAACTAAATGTTCAATAATTTTTTTTTTTTTTTTTTTTAATAATAAACTTTATAAAAATAGTAATTTTGCAAGTACTAAAATTTGAAATGTTGAGTACACGTAAATATATAAAATTTGAAGTTATGAATAAGAAATTGGGAGAAAATAAAAAAAAAGGGAAATCATCTTTAATCTGTAAAATACATTAAAGAGGAAAAACAAATGGAAGAAATTGCTATAAGTAATAAAATATAAATATTTATGAGTAACTTAATAATTTAAAAATAAATCTACTTTTTTTTTTTAAAAAAAATTTTTTTTTTTTTTTTTTTTTTTTTTTTTAATAAAAAAGACTACATTTAAAAAAATTGTAAAATAAAATTTGTAAAAAATGAAAAATGCAAATGTTAATCCAGAATTAAATGAAAAAAGTGAAGAAGTAGTAACAGAAAGACAAAGTAATAAAAATTATAAAATGAATGACATCTATCACATAAATATAGAAAAGGAAATGAATAATATAACCATATCAAAAAAAGCATCATTAAATGATCCAAACAATTTAACAAAATGGAAATTATTCAGAATATTAATAATTAAATTAATATTTTCCTTATTATATCTATTAATTTCATTAATTATACAAGGTTTCTTTATGATTTATAGTGATTCATATTATAAAAGATACACACCACCACTAGGAGATCGCATACATGATTTATTTGAATATCCACCTAAATGGGCATCATATAATCTGTCGAATAATTTGATAGCAATTTTAACAGTTTTTGTATTTTTTAGATTAATTATTTTTAATAGTGTATATTTATCTATAGCTATTGCTTGCCGATTTTTGTATATGCTTGGGTCTTTTTATATTTTAAGAGGGATACTAATATACGTTACTTCTTTACCTGCTACGTTAGACACATGCTTACCTCTCGAGAGTGGAAGTTTTCGATTTAATTTATTGCAAATATTGAAAATAAACATGAACTTAGTTTATGTGTGCTCAGATTTAATAATATCAGGTCATTCTTTTTCTACAACCTTACTTTTAATGTTTTCTCTTTATTATATGAATAATGTAATATTAAAAATTATTTTATCCTTGTTCTGTTGTTTTATTTATATATTTATAATAATTGGTTTTATACATTATACATCTGACGTATTACTTGGCTTATTTTTTGGTGTTTTCATTTTTTCCTTTTATCATATAATGCTTGATCTATCTTCACAATATTATATATTTTGCACGTTATTTGAAGTTAAAATTATTTCAAATAAAAAAAATGTTCAGGCAAAACCATTTTTTTTAAGGTTTTTTTTAGCTAGAATATTTTTGAAAATTATTCCCTTCTTAGAAGGATTAAATTACACATTGAATTATGCATTAAATAAAAACAATGATTTTTCAACTTTTTGTAATTGTGAAAATTACGATAAAGAAAGAAATTTAATTTCATTTTGCAAATCATCCAAAGAAAACAAAATTTCTATCTACTGTTCAGATCATTTATTTCACAGTTATGCTGGAGATGGTACTATTAGTTTTTTATCTTTAAAATTTGTTAAAATGTTAAAAGTAAAATAATATTATTTTTTTTAATAATTTTTTTTTTTTATTCTTGTGATATATACATTTTTTTTTTATTTTTTTTTATGTAAAAAAATATTTACAATATTTGTGTATTTGTTATTATAAAATTTTTTTTTTTTTAAAATATATACACAAGTAATCATAACTTTAAATTTTAATTTTTTTAAAAAAAAAATTATTTCCAAAATTTAATGAAAAATTTTATCATTCTTTTTTTATAAAAAAAATTATATATATATATATTTTTTTATAAAATGAATAAGGAAATAACTTTTATAAAAAGTAATCATATATTTATTTAATATATACACGACCATTATGTAATTTTATTTTTAAAAATAATATGCCTACCCTTAAATAAAAAATTTATAACATAAATTTATTAAAATAAAATAAAATAAAATAATATACAAATGTTTAAACAGGTGTGCAAATAAATATATAAATAAATGTAATATATATTTATATAAAATGAGAAAAACAAAATGAAATATGATAAGATGAAATAAAAAAAGATATTTTCATAAAATATTACATTAATGAAATGGAAAGCACAAATGCAAACTTTTCGTTTGATATGCTTGATATGATTGATAACTGTGACTCTGTAAAGCCAGAAGATAAATCAGAAGGAAAAAATGATACAAAAGAAAATATAATTGAAATAAATATAAATAAAAAAAAAACAGAAGTATTTCATAATAATACAACTATTATTGATGGCATTAAAAAATCAAGAAGGAAAAAAAATAAAACTAATTTTAAGATTTTTCCAGAAGTAAGTGATGCAAAACATGAAGTGATATATGAGTCAAAAGAAAATCACAATAATAATCTGATTAAAACAAAGGTTAATAGTAATGAAAATAAATTCAAGAGAAGACAAAAAAAAAATAAAATAGTAGAGAAGGTTTTAAATAGAAAAATATTAAAAAATAGCAATTTAAATATTTTTTCAAATGAAGAAAAGTTGAACAATGAAATAATAAATCAAAATGTATCTAATGAAAATAGTTTAAATACCCATTTTTATAAAAATATAACATCAAATTGCAAAATACAAAATAATAAAGATGATTTAGGTACATATGAATTTGAAAATTGTAAAAATAATAATAATAATAATAATAATAATAATAATAATAATAATAATGCAAGTTTAAATGAAATAGATAAGGTGGATAAAGATATATTTTCAAAATCTTATGAATGTGATAACTGTAAAAATTACTTGAAAGAATTAAGCTGTAAAAATTACATGAATTTTTCCATCTATGGAGAATACATAAATGATGGAGAAAATAATATGCTTTTATTAAAAAACAAAAAAATTGAAGAATTAGAAAATAAAAACAAATTAATGCTAAATAAAATAGAAAGTTTAAGAAGAAAAAACTCATTTTTAAGTGATAAGATAAAAAAATTTAGCACAAGCTTAACTGATATAAATTTAAATTTTAATAAGTTAATTAAAGAAAATAACTTACTGAAAGAAATCAATACAAATTTAAGTGAGGCACTAGAAAAAGAGAAATCTTATAATCTTCAAAGACAAAAAGAAAATACTTGTAAAGAATTAACTTATTGTGATAAATCGGTAGAAGAGGAATTTGAAGATTCAATAGATAAGGAAATTTTTAATGAACATTATTAAAAAAAAAAAAAGAGAATTCTTACTAATGTATTTTCCATTGCAAAGAATAAGAAAAAATATGTCCATTTGTTATTTTATTTACTTTTCTGAACTAATCGTAAATGTATATCTTCAAAAAGAACTTTAAAAATGGAATATTAATAATTTCTTTAAATTTATATATTCATAATTATTTAACCTTTCTCAATGTAATTTTTTTTATTTTTTTTATTTATTATTTTTTTTTTTTTTAGTTTGTCTTAATTTTCTTTATAGTCAAAAACAGTATTTAAAAAAAAAAAAAAATATTATAACCAAAAAAAAAAGTTGGCAGAGAAAAATAAAAGATAGCATATTACATAAAAAATAATTAAAGCATAAAAAAAAAAAAAAAAAAAAAAGATATTTTTAAAAAGGATAAATATAAAATTAAAAAAAAAAGGTCTTTAATAAAGTTAAAAATAAAAAGAAAATAATTCTAAAATTTAAAAAACAAGAATAACATTGAAATTATGATGAATATAGGAATTAAGATGATTCTTTATAATGTGCACCAAATTCTACCTTAATAGGTAATTTAAAATTATAATTTGAAAAAATTTCATTATCACAGCTTGACAAATTAGAAGATAAGTTATTTTGTTCATATTGATTAATTTTATATGTTTGATTATTAACTTTTTCTAAATATTCAATGTAAGTTTTGATAGAAATATTATCATGCATATAATCAAATAATAATTGAAGTCTATTGAAAGAGTTTGTATAATGTATTAAATTATAAAATGCATTTTCTAAAACTGGTTTTAATAAATGAACTATATAATTAGTGGCTTCTTGTTCACTTTCTAATAATAATTCATCATGAACTTGTAATATTAACTTGGTTATCTTCAAAAAATTTGGATTATCATTAGGTAAAGTAGTAATATCATTTATTTTTAATAATCTTGGGTTGCTATAAATATCATGACTTAAAATATTAAAGCAAGATAATAAAGAAAATTTCATGATATCAGCTGCACAACCTTGAATTGGTGAATTCATACTAATTCTATATTTATTTTTTATATTTGGTAATATTATTCTTTTTCTTCCTATTAATGTATAAACACAATCCATATGCTTAACTAAATACTTTTGCATTTGCATAAATTTATAAACATTTGGAAAGAAGTTAAAAAAATTTTGAATTAATTTATTTGCTAGAGTATCACTTATTAATAAGCTTTTTGCTAATCCACTTTCTGTCTGTCCATATAAAATTCCATAAATGACAGTTTTAGTCATTCTTCTTAATTCGTTTGTTACATTATTTGTGTTAAATAAAAGTTTTGCAGTTTCAATAAAAACATCATTATAATTTAATAACTTCAATAATTCAACATCGAAACTTAAATAAGCCATAACAAATAATTCCATTTGTCTGTAATCGAAAGCAATCAAATTCTTCTTATTTATTTCTAAAAAATTATATTCATTTAATCCATTTTCTTTTTTTAAAGATATAGCACATCTGAATCTAGAATGAATATTTTGCAAATTAGGTTGATCGCATGACAATCTACCTGTTGAAGCACCTATTTGATTAAAATTGCAGTGAATTTTCTTCGTATTTTTTTGTATATATTTAGGTAAATTTTCTATATAATTCTGAAATAACTTTTTTGATTCTCTATATAATTTTATATTACTAATTATTTTTTTAATTTTTTCTTTTTCTTTTCCATTTATAGAATCACATTTTTCTATTTCATCTACAATAATTTTTAACATTTTATTATTTGTCAGAAAATTTTTACTTTTTTTCATTTCATTTATAGTATTATTAAAATATGATGCATTTTCTTCAATTATGTTAGATGTAGGTGAAGAAGATAAGGTAGATAATGAAGTAATAGGTGTTGGATTGGAATAATTACTGTTTATTATATTTTCCATTAATTTATCATTTAAATGTATATTTTTTTTTTTCATATCACTATTTTTGTCACAATCATTTTCATTAGTTTCTTCATTGGTATAATCAAAAACACTATTTTCATAGTTAGTTATATAGGGAACTTTTTCATCATTTTGAATTTTTTTTATTTCACACTTAGTTCTTTGATCATACTCAATCTCTTTATCAGAATTATCATTATTAAAAGTAAGATTAAGTAAATATTTATATAATAAAGAAGATACTTGTTTTGACGAATTTAAATTTATGTCACAATTACATAAATTTTCTATCTCTTTTTTATAAATAAGTGGATCAACAGAATTTTTTTGAATTTCTTCTATTTTTTTTTCATTTAGAAATATTCCTCTTTTTTCAATTTCACTTATGCAAAGTATTAACGGTTGTTCTATTTTTATATAAATATTTAATAAATTTAAATTTTCTTCAAATTTTTTTATCAAAAAGTCAAATAAAATGATCAAACAACAATTTCTTGAAATACAATAACTTATCATATCTTCTTCAGTTATTTCATACATACTCCTTTTATTTCCAAATGCCATTTTTTTAATATTATTTAGATTTTTTATATCTATAGGAATAAACCTAAATTGATTATGTTTATCTCTATTTAATATATTTTTTTTTTGATACTTTACTAAATTAGTATACTTATTCATTTTATCTTTTATATTATCTGTACAATTTAATTCATTTTCATTAATATTTTCTAAATTTTTCTTTTTCTTATTACTTTTTTCTTTCATTTTTTGATATTTACCCCAACCATATATTCCATATTTTCCTGAAAGAACATCCGAAAATTCAGGAGGGAAAATTGAAAAGTGGGAAAAATTTATTAGTTGTGTCGAATTTTTAGAATGTTTAAAATTTAATTGATCATTTAAATATGCACTGAAAACAGTTTGCAACTTTTCTCCTCTTTGAACAAGTTGTAATAATGAACTTATAATATAAATATCAAAGACATTGTCAATGTTCATTAATTTTAGTTCTATATTATTCAATATATGTATTAAAGTTTTAAAATCATAAACTATAAAAAGAAAAGGATTAAAACAGTTCGTGTGTTTTTTGACAAAATTACCTTGTAAACATTCACTTAATATTTCTTTGAATTCTTCATTATTTTTCAAATCATATAAATTAAAAGAAAAAAAAAAGATAAGATCTTCATTATTGCTACAATAAGAATTATTAAATTTAATTTCATTATTATTTCCACTTGAAACATTTCTTAAATTTTCTATTTTATATAAGTTTATCTCTTTTTTAATCGAGTATTCTATGCAATTTGGGATATTTTCATCTTTTTTCCTTTTTGATGTATTTTTACTATTATTTTTATTTTCATTTATATTAATTTTATCCAAGTTATTTGTAACTTCATGTAAGTTTTCTTTTCCAGATGCATCTGTTCTAATTTTTTGAGAATTATTTTCATAATGATTATTTTCAATGTTTTTATTTCTTATATTTGAATAAATATTATATTCTTCACTTTTATAATTTGAAGAATCGGAGTTTTCGTTTATTCCATTGTGCATATTTTCTAAAATCTTATGAAAGTTAAAATTATCATATGTCTCTAAAATGTTATATAAGTTTATATCATTATTAGGAATAACAATATGAAAAGTCATACTACTTGGTAAAGAAAAACATTTTGATTTATATTTATCTTCATTAATTTCAGGAAACCAGCTGATGTAAATTTTAATACATTTTCTCCATTTTTCTAATATAATATTATATTCATCATTATCTAATAAATCTGAATTAGTTTTGTTTATATATTTTAATTTATCATAATTATATTCTGATACTGTAGTAAGTAACGAATGTAAAGAATATATTTCATTCGAAGTATTACTTTTTTTATTTAAAAGATTCACCAAATAGCTGTAATTCGTTGAATGATAATTATTTAATTTTTTCTTATATATATTATTATTCCTGTTTAATTTAAAAACATTTAGTTTTATTATAATACCGAATAATTTCATTTTTTCATTTTTTATTTATCGAAGAAAAAGAAAAATACTTAATTTCATTAAAAATTTCATTTATTCATCTGTTTCATAGTTATGTTGTAATTCATTTTTTATAATTTCTGTTTTCAATTAACTTTTTTTTTTTGTCTCCTTTCGTACATAATTATATGACATTTTATTTTATTTCTTTATTTTTTTTACTTCTTTTTATCTTCAAAAATATTTATTGAAGAAAGAAAAAAAAAAAAAAAAAAAAAAAAAAAAAAAAAAAAGTATATTCTAATTATTACCTTATTAATATAATTTTTGTGAAAATACCAAAAATATGAGTTGATATAAAAATAATCTCTTTTTAAAAATAAAATTAATAAAATCGTTACACATATTTTTCCTTATCTTTTAAAACAATTTTATAAAAGAATTAACTGAATTTTAATAATTATACATAAAAAAAAAAAAATTTGAAAAGCATTTTTGAAATTTTCATATTTTTTTTTTCTACTATTTTTTAATGTTTCTTTTTACAAATATAAAAGAATTCTTTTACTTGATATAAAAATTATTTTTAAGATATATTATTAAATTAATTCAATTTTTTTTTTTTTTTTTTTTACTAAAATCCTAATATATTAAATGAAAAAAATGGATAAGAATAAAAGTATATTTAACAAATAAAATTTCACAGAATAGTTTCGTATAATGAATATTTTTATATATATTTAATTATTAGTTAAATGAAAAAAAAAAAAAAAAAAAAAAAAACTACATATATAAAATGAATAATTAAATAAAAAAGCTTAAAAAATTGAATGAAACTCGTATTTACAAATATGGTTTTAAAAATTTTTAATTATAATAAAATATTTTTCTTAAAAAAGAACTCAAAAAAAAATGATAATAATTAAAATAATATTATTACGAATAACAACTTAAAATGTGCAACAAATAATTAATAAAAATTAAAAATAGGGTAAAAATAATTAAAAAAAAAATTACTTTTAATTATATAATATTATAACTCAACGTCTTTTTGTGGAAAATAAAAAAGGGAAAAAATGGAATCAAAAATAGTTGAAAGTAAACCTTTATTTTTATTTTTATTTTCTTCACCTGTTTCATTGCTCTTTTTTAAATCATGACTTAAAACGGAAATTATCTTTTGAGTGGTGTAATGATATTCTTTAACAAAAAAATTCTTTAATTTTTCCTTAGAAGATGATAAATATTCTTTAAATTCTAAATATTTATACATAATTTTCATAGGATTTTGCGATAAAATATTAACTAAATAAAATTTCTTTAAAAATTGATAAAATGATTTACCATCATTTTCATTATTTTCCGTTTTTTGATTGATATTCTGCAATATTTCTTCACCATTTATAATAGTTGAATTTTCTTTTTCATTTAAAGTTTCATCTAATTCATAAAATAATTCCTCATCAACATCAGAATTATTTTCATAATTTTTTTTATAATTATCACATTTATTCCCTTGTATTGATTTGAAACATGTTTTATTAAATGGACTACTTTGTAATATTTCAACTTTTTTTTTTAAATAATCATTTTCATCTTTTACAAAATTAAAATAGCTATCATTTTCATTTTTTTCACTATCTATTATTTTTACTTTAATATCTTTTAAATTAAAATGCTTGTTATTAAATTCAATTAATAAATCATCTATATCATTTATTTCACTATTTGACACATTTTCAAAGTTGTTCCTATCTAAAATTAATAATTTTTCGTTAATTATTGGAAATATATTCTTTATCTCATTAATATCTTTATCACTCAAAGAATTTGTTAATACATCTTTTAAGGAAAACAATTCAAAACTTTTATCTTTTTTTTTTTTTATAAAATATTCACAACTATTCTTACGTTTATTCCTTAAAATATAATAGTTAAAAAAAATTGGTTTCTTCAAAATATTCATATAATAGCATATCTTCTCTTTATTATTATAGTTATTTTCATAACTAACTTTGAACAAACAAAAAATTAAGATTATTATAATATTAGTCATGCTTTCATTTATAATTATTAAAAATATAAAAAAATATATATTTGTGATCAAATGTCAAAGTAATATATTTATTTTTTCACTAAAAAAATAGAGTAAAATTAAAAAATATCATTTAATTTTTTTTTTTTTTTTTTCTTTCCATTATCTTCATTTATCAAATAGATTTTGTGCAAACATAATTAAAAAATTTTTAAATATGTAATTTCTTTAAACAAAACAAAACATCTTTATGAAGGTTTCATTTCTCAAATGTAATATCTTATTAAAAATTTTAGATGCATGCAAAAAAAAAAAAAAAAAATGTATAAAAATTGAAATAAGATTTAATAGTTAATATTCGACAAATGCTATAAAAATATATGTTTTATATAAAAAAAAAAAAAAAAAAAAAATGAAAATTTAATTTTTTAAAAAATAGTAATTCTTATAAATAATATAAATGAAAAAAGTACAGTAAGATACTTTGAAAAATATAACATAAAAAATTAAATGTGTGATTGATAGTTTAATAAAATATAAATATGAAATGAAATGCTGAAGTGTGAGAACAATTTTATTCGTTTTCAAGATATATATATTTAATGAATAATAAAAAAGGAAAATAATTTTAAAATTAAAAATATAAATGTATTTAAATTTAGTAAGTTATCAAGTTTTTATAATTGCTAAAACATCTAAAGAAGCAATGAAATTTTCTCATTAACACAAAAATAACTTTTAATTTTTTAATGGAAAAAAAAAAAAATTACACAATTCCTAAAAAAAAAAAAAAATAGATTAAAATGAAATTAGGATTTCAAATAAACAGTATTTTTAAAAAAAAAAAAAATGGTTTGAATATTTTTACTTTACCTTATAATAATATTAGTATTTTAAAAAATGACACCAATAAAAAATTTTTTCATAGAGAAAAAGCGGAATTTTCATTAAGTGAAATTGATGATGATATTAACAGGAACAAAATAAAAAAAAAGCAACAGCAAAAAGACTGTTTTTTTTTTTTTAATGACCAATTATTTTATAAAAATATAATTAGTAAATTATCAAATAAACAAATATACCCTAAACATATTTCTCATGATTTTTTTCATCATTTAAACAAGTTTCACCTAAATTTTTTAAATAATTATTTTAATGAATTTTTTTTTAAATTTACCAAGACATCTAAAATATTTTTTGGTGTATTATCAAGTTTTTGTGTATTATTATGTTTTTTTTTAATTACGTCATCCAATTACTTAGAATATAATATAATATTGAAATATCATATAAAGTTTAATTCATTACTTTTTTCTTTTTTTTCATCCTATTACTTAGCTTTACAAGTTGGCTCGTATTACTTTAAAAATATTTCTCAATATTTTAATTCTTTTATTTTTTTACTTAGTTCTATTTTATCTATTTTTATAGCAGATTATGACATATGGACATCTTATTATTTTTTAAGTGTAAATTATTTATTTTTTCTAGTTGTTAATTACTATAATTTGTATTTAAAGAAGTTTCCTAATTACATTTTTAAGAATGTAAATAGAATAATTTATTTTTCCCTTTTATCAAATTATCTTGCAATTAACAAAGGAAAATATATTGAAAAAAATATCGAATTATTAAAAAATGAAAATAGTGATATATCCTTCTATAAATTATTGAAAATAAAACCATATTTTTTATGAGATATTAAAAAAACGGAATAAAAAAAAAAAAAAAAAAAAAAAAAAACTAAAAAAGGTAATATATATATATATATATATATATATATATATATATATATATGTTTAAATATTTATTATATTTTTTTTTTTTTTTTTTTTTATATTGTATATAGTAAAGGTTGATTAACAAGTAAAAAAAAGAATAAACAAAATAAAAATTCAATTTATATTTATATTAAAAAAATTTCAGAAAGTAGACTTATCAAATCTTAGATGTATAATAAAATAAGTAAATCTAAATTATTTTATATTTTTATATTTACCAAATAAAAAGTATATATTATATAATAATATACAAAATCCATAGATTACGAATACTAAAACAGAAAGATATATATATATATATATATTCAAAAGATTTGACTTAATTTTTTTTCATAATTATGAAAAGATTTTTTTATATAAATTAAAGATATAATAATAATTTAACAGAACTTTAAATTATCCCATTACTTCATGTTTATTTAAATTAATAGTTTTTTTTTTTTTTTTTTTACTAAATTATATATTAAATTATCTTATTTTTTGTATTGCTATATTTTTATTTCATTTATTTTATTTTCTTTTACTACGATCAAAATTTAATAGAAAAAGATTATATGTATTAATTATTGTAAAAAAAAAAAAAAAAAAATTAAAATACTTATATCTAAAAATAAGAAATAAAAAAAAAAAAACATTTCACATTCTTTTAATATAAATAATAGATAATGAAGAAAATATTTTTTATTATTATAAACTATAAAAAAAGATTTTTAATTTTTTATAATTATTAATTCATTAATATAAATGCGATGCATTTATTCATTTCATGCAATTATAAAAGTAATACCAAATAATGTGCAAGATTTATATTTTTTTTTTTTTTTTTTTAATAGTGAAATTGAAAGAAAAGGGTTCACAAGACGTATGAGTACTATAAATTATTCGAATTCATTTTTTTATTTTTTTGTAATATACATTCATGAGTTTATGTGACTTTTTATAATTAATAAAATATAAAAAAAATTTTTTTTTTTTTTTTTTTTTTTTTTTTTTGCTCATTGGTTAAAAGCTTTTTTTTTTTTTTAGTTATTATTTTCTATTTTCTTTTGATATATATATATATATTTTTTCTTCTAATTTTAAAATTATTTTTTATTTTATTCTTTTTTTATAAAAGTACACATAATTATTTTTATTTTTTAACATAATACAAATTGATAATGCTTTTTTAATTATTTGAATAACATACAATTTTTATTTTTTATTTGAAAATAGAACATTTTTTTTTTTTATCAAATTTGCCTTTTTTTTTTTTTTTTTTTTTTTATATATATTATTTATCAATTAAATTTTAACATATAGTTTTTAATTAAAGATATGATTAAAAATTATATATATATATATATATTTTTTTTTTTTAGAATAATTGATTAATCATTTTAATAATTTGAACAACCAATAATTTTTATATTCTATTATAAAATTGAACATAAATTTTTTCCTTTTTTTTTTTAAATTTTCCTTTTTTATTTTCATTTGAAAATTTGCTTTTGTTTTTATTTTTTTATATTTTCTATTCTTATTTGAAAGTTTGCTTTTGTTTTATTTTTTTTAAATTTTTGCATAATTTTCATATTTTCTTTTTTTTTTTTTTTTTTTTTTGTGAAGATTTGCATAAATGCAAACGGTTTATGAAAGTGACAACTTGATTGATTGTAGTAATTTTATGTTGAGTAATAAAGAATCTATAGATGATTTTTTAGATTTAAATGAAATAAAAGATGAAAATGAAGATAATTACTTAAATTATAACATTGAATGTTCTTTAAATAAAAGTATAGAAGATAAAAAAAATAATTCTTTTAAAAATAGAAGAGAAATAATAAATGATGCAATAAATGAAAATAAAAAATATGAGTATGGATTATCAGACCCTATATCATTAAAATTTCCAACAGAAGAAGATTTAAAAAAAACAAATGACGTAGTAGAATTATTAAAAAGTTACAACTTATTTGAAACAGAATATGGATTAAAAAAAAGAGAAAAAGTATTAGGAATGATAAATAAATTATTTCATGAATTTGTGATAGAAATATCAATAAATCAAGGAATAAATGAAGAAGAAGCAAAACAAATAAATGGTAATTTATATACATTTGGTTCATATAGATTAGGTGTAATTACTCCTAATAGCGATATAGATTGTATATTTTTAGCTCCACAAAATATAACAAGAGAAATATTTTTTAATGAATTTTATCTAAAATTACAACAGGATAGAAATGTAAGAAAATTACAAGCATTACCAGAAACATACACTCCTATTATTAAATTCATTTATGATGATGTTGATATTGATTTACTACTAGCAACATTACCATATAGAACATTAAGAGATTGTCATTATTCATTAGATAATGATAATATTCTAAAAAATTTAGATGAGATAACAGTTAGATCACTAAATGGTATAAGAGTTGCAGATTTAATTTTAAATTCAGTTCCAAATAAAGAATGTTTTAGAAACACTTTACGATTTATTAAATTATGGGCAAAAAATAGAGGAATTTATAGTAATATTTTAGGATTTCTTGGGGGTATATCATGGGCATTATTAACAGCAAAAGTATGTCAATTATACCCAAATTATAATATAAGTCAGTTAATCTGTAAATTCTTTAGAGTTTATTCAATATGGAATTGGAAGTATCCAGTTCTTATAAAAAATATTAAAAAATCTAATATTGAAGGATTAAAAAATTTCCCAATATGGGATCCTGAAAAAAATATAAAAGATAAATTACATGTTATGCCTATTATTACACCAGCATTTCCTTGTATGAATTCTACACATAATGTCACATATTGTACAAGAAATATATTAATAGAAGAATTTAAAAGGGCACATTCTATTATTAACTATATGGAAGATAATCCAAGTAATAACACTAATATTAATATTAACAACTTAAATAATAGTAATAGTGGTCCATATAATAGTAATAATATATGGATTAATATATTAGAACCCCTTGATCTTTTCACTAATTATAAGCATTTTTTACATATTCAAATTATGGCCACAAATGAACTAATACATAATAAATGGAAAGGATGGATTGAAAGTAAAATTAGATTATTATTTAAAAAGTTAGAAACTATTAATGAATTAAAAATTAGACCATATCCCAAATTTTTTTTTTACAAAAAAGATAAATACTATTATTGCTCTTCATTTTTCATTGCACTTGTCTTTTTTTTTAAGAATGCATATGATAATACTCTTAACCTTTCTTATGCTATTAGAGATTTTGTAGAGATTGCATTAAATTGGCCACACAAAAACAAATTTCCAAATTCTTATAAAATTAATATCAGTTATCAAAAGAGGACTCATGTATTAGAATTCTTATCAAGTATAGAAAATCCTGATAATACATATGAAGAAAATGCAGATGATACAAATAAAAATTTATCAGATGAAAATGAGATTAATGACAGTAAATTCAATGAAAATAATACTAATGTAGATGTAATTGATGAAAACAAAACAGATGATGATCATATATTAAATTAACAAAGTACCTTTAATCAAAACATTATGAACAACATAAGAGAATTTAAATGATATTCTTTATAATTCCGGTTGAAAGAGGAACATTAATATAATGTGAATGTTATAATAATTAAGATAATTATAAAATGTGTTATTAAAAATCTTATGAAAATTAAAAAAAAAAAAAAAAATAAAATAAAATAAATAAATAATAAATAAAATAATAAAATAGTGGGAAAAAAAAAAAATAATTTATATAGTATCAAATATAAAAAAAAAAAAAAAAAATTAAAAAATAGATGAAAAAAAATGTTTCCATTAAAAAAATAGGATAATTAGGACATAAAAATAAAAATAATTGTTGTGCATAAATATAAGATTAGTACTTTTTTGAAGTTTAAAGAATTAATGTTTTTTCTATTAATAATTAGATTGATCATTACTACAATTTTTTTTTTTTTTTTTTTTTTTTTTTTTTTTACCAATTTATATCATGAAAAATAAAGTTTAACTTTTTATTTAAATATTAATTTTTTTTTTATTATATTTTTCATTTGTAGAAATAATAAAGATTAAAATTATAACTAATTAATTTTATATAAAAAAAGAAAAAAAATTAATAATAAAATATTAAAGTTTATTTTAAAACAAAAAAAAAAAAAAAAAAAAAAAAATATATATATATATTTATACAAGAAAACTTGATTTATTTAAAATATATGTGATTAAAAATATTAAAAAAAAAAAATAAGTCTATAAATAATATATAAATTAATAAAAAAGAAAACATAAATATGTTTTTATAGTTATTTTTTAAATTATGAATAATACTATACTAGTTTAGTATTGGATAAAAGTTGATATCATTTCCTTTTATATTTAAAAAGGTATATATCACCTTATATATATATATATGTTTACATATAATTTTTTTTTTTTTTTTTACTCTTTAACTTGGTTTATTTTGTAAATTTGAAAATTTATGATGATTAAAATATGACTGCTTTAATATTTCTGGGTTTTTGTATAAAATAGGATACAAATATTCTGTTTGTAAAATAAAATTTGGTAGAAATTCATACTTATCCATTATATGATATAAAGAAAAATTTGTAAATTTTTTTAATCTATCATTTTTATTTTCTGGTAGTAATGGCATTGGTTTTTTATTACTTAACTTTTTAAACCATTTACAAATATTTCCATAATCCTTTATGTTTACTTTTCCCATTTTTAATATACATACAATATAAAACTTATATCTTTTAATTTTTAAAATTATAAATAAAAATTTGTTATATATAATATATCTATTAAATATAAAAGTTTACCTCATGTTTTTTCTTTTTTTTTTTTTTTTTTATATTTATTAAAAAAAAAAAAAATAAAATGTATTCTATATAAATTTAAACTATTACTTTTATAATTTTTTATTTTTCTTTATTATTAAAACATGCATATATTTAAATTAAATGAAAAAAAAAAAATAAAATAAAATAAAAAAGTGCATAATAAAGCATATATAATTTACAAAATAAAAAAAAAATAAACATAAGTTATAAATATCAAAATAGAAAAAAAAAAAATTACTATAAAAATTAAATAAAATATATGCTCAAAGGTATACTAGTGCATATCTGTAATGATGACCTCTAAAAATAAGAATTAATAAAAATTATAAAATAAATAAAAATGCGAGTGTAACCTATATTACAAAAATAAAAAACAATTATTGCAAGTTGCTAATTATTTATCTTTTAAAAATTATAAAAAGATTATATAAAATTACACAAAAAATATTTATACATTTTTAACTAAATGTATAAACACTTATAGTTAATTTTTTTATGTCATTTTTTATTTAAAAAATAAATCAAAAATAAAATAGAGATGCAAAATGCATGGAATAGAATTAATAAGGCTATGAAAAATATTCAAAATGTTATATTAACAGAAGATGACAATTTATTTATAAAAGAAAAGAATGAAAGTTTGAAAGATGAGTGCAATAAAGAAGAAACAAAAAAAGAGTTAAATATAAATTACAGACATACGAAATGGTCGTCTTCAAGTGATATTGATAATAAAAATACAACATTTAATGATGAAAAAAACAATATAGAAAAAATATACACTAAAAATGTTCTATATGACGAAATAATTAGTAATATAGATTTATTTAATAGTTTTATAAAAAATGAAAAGGCACAATTATATATTAATGAATACAAAATTAATTATTATAATTCGGAAGAGAAAGAATTTTTTTTATTAAATTTTATATGCATATGTAAATATACTTTATTTATTTTGACAAAATTTTTAAATATCAATTTAATAGATAAATTTGAATATATTAATATGAATAAAGAAGAATATGATTATAATATAACACATTTATTTTTTAAGATATTAAAAATAGATAAGCTATTTGAAATAAATGATTTTGAAATAGATAAGAAAAACAATGAAGATAATAACACATATTTCAAAAAAAAATCTGACGAAAATAAGGAAATAAAAGAAAGATTCTCCATTAATTATGAAGAAGAAAAATGTTACCTTAATGAGAAACAAAATGATGATTTAGAAAATATAAAAGAAAACTCTGAGATAAATGATAAAGAGAATACATCTAAACAGTCTGAAAATGTTGTAATAACAGAAGTAAAAGAAATTGAAAAATTAAGTAATATTTTGCATCATGAAATAAATACAGAAAATAATATGAATAAAAATAATCAAATAAATATTAAACAAACAATAAAAGGGGAAAATGTAATTAATGAGTGTAATCAGAAATCTAGAATTTATCATAACAATACTAAAGAAAAAATTGAAGTTGAAAAGAAAGATATAGAAGAGAATATGAAGGAGGAAACAAGAAATATCAACATGAATAATAATAATAATATTAATAATAATATATCATATAGTGAAAATTCTCAGTTCTATTGTAATTCTATGAAAAAAAAAGAGGATACAGGATTAAATAAAGACAATGAAATTTTTCCTAATAGAACCTCTCTTATGGAATGTAAAGAAGAGGATTTTTCTATAAATAATGAAAATAAAATAGACTTAAAGAATATTATAAAATCTATAAAAGAAGAAAATAATATTAAAATAAATTTATTAAACGATAAAATAAAATATTTAAAGGATGAATTAATTAAAAGTAAAAAAAATTTAATAAATTTTGAAAATTTGAAGAATGATGTAGAAATTTATAAAAACGAATTAAATAATAAAAATAAAATAATTGAAAATTTGATTAATGAGAAAAATATATTGCAAGACCATATTAATATAATACAATCAAAATTAGATGATAGCAAAAAAAGGAATGAAGATAATGATAAATTAAAGAAATATTGCAAAGAAAATCACGTAGATAAACAAATTATTATAGAATTAATAAAAAATAGTCAAGATACATTAAAAACAAAAAATATTAGGAATCAAATATTTTTGATTTTATGTGATATTTTAGGTATTAAAAGCCTAATTGAAGGTTTACAAGAAAAAACTATATCAGATCAATTTTTAGAATTCTTAGAAGAAGAAACAAAAGAATTTTGAGAAAATTTTATTATAGAAGTTAATTTTTTTTTAACCATAAAAAAAAAATTTTTGTTCAATATTTTACAGTTTATATTTATTTCTTTAATCTTTTTTTTTTTTTTTTATCATTTAAGATTATAAATTCATAATGTTTTCATTTTTTATAAATTTATTTATTTTTAAAATTATTTCTGTTTAGTGTTAGTATATTTTATATTATATATATACTTTTTTATTTCTTTAATTATCATTTTTTTATTTTTTTTTTTTTTTTTTTTTT